GGAAAAACCCCTTCTGATTTCCAGGCGGCGCAAATAGAATTAGAGCCTCCCGGTTGCTTCACTCCCTTTTTCTTTTTTTTTTTTTTTTTTTCTTTTCTTCACCCCTTCCAGAAAAGCCCTTTTGTCTCTGTCGCAAACTCCGGCCCAGCGGGGCAGCGCGGGGTACGGAGGATGCACGGGGTGTGGGTGCTGGTGCTGAGGCTGGCCTGCCAGCAGGTGCCAAAGAAAACCTCACCGGGAGTGTAAAAGCTGCTCTTCTTTGCTCTCTGTCAGGGACAGGGCCCCGGGCCGCCGGAGGAACGCTCGAAGGCAGCGGAGCACTGCGGGGCACCGCGGAGCACCGCGGAGCACAGCGCGCCTTTGTGCGCCCACCCTGGCCGTGGGAAAACGCCTCCGGGCTCGGTCCCGCTCCCTCTGCTCCGCGGTCCCCCGGGGAAGCGCTGTCCCACCCGCCTGAATAACCCACTAAATAACTGCGAGGGTCTCTTTAGTAGTGCTTTATTTGGAGGGGGCCCGGGCAGGACGGGGCGCGCAGTTCAGCGCGGCCGCGGGGCCCGGCCCCTCACTGCCCTGGTAATGGGGCTGGAGGGGTGGGTGACACGTGTTGGCTTGGCCCGGTCAAAGCGTGGGGCTGCGGGGACACGTCCCTGCTCCTGCCGCATCCCTGGGTTCCCTGCCACCCCAGGGAAGCAGGAGGAAAAAAAAACTTTTTGCTTTTTCTGCTGCCTCGCTTCCAGGGCTGCGCAGGCTGCGCTCCGCGGAAACAAGCGGGCCCCGGGGTTGCCCGTTCCGCGGTCCCCCAGCTAAGAGGGCCCTGCGCACAGAGGGAGGTTTCCTTCCCTTCTTTCCTCCTTCTCCTCTCCTCCGCTCCTCTCCGGGCTAACTCGGATGCCAGGTGGCTGGATGCGCTCTTGGCTGGTCCGCTGCTGCGTGATCAGTTGGGACGGGGGCATTTTCAATAATGATGATGATAATAATAACAACAGCAATAATGATGAAGATGCGGTGGCGTTCGGGCGGCCGCCAGCAGAGGGATCTGCGCTTTGCTCTTCCCCGCCGGCCGCTACTCCCTCGGCTGCGGCAACATCTGCTGAGCTGGAGGAGACAGGACGCTTGAGCAGACGCACAGATGTAAAAGCGACATCTGCTTGTGACAAAGGAGCGGGAATTAGATTAGGCGGGGAGGCCTTTCTGCGATTAAAAAAAAAAATGCTAGCTGTAGGCTGTGTAAGCAGAGGAAGAGGATGTGAAAGGCAGAACTGCTCGTTGGGCAGCTGCTAGGACAGCCGGGGCAGCACAAGGGTCCTGGGAGCAGAAATAGCCCTAAGAGAAGGCTTTGCTTTTCCCTCTAGAAGCAGAGGTACAGCCAGATCAAAGCTTTCTGTCATTAGGAGCAAAGGACAGCGGGCAGCAAGGCGCCACTCGGACACCGGCAGAGATGCCTCCCTACAGCTCCTAGCCACGCTGCTGGCACCAGCTAGCCAAAGAGGCTCAGATACAGACACTTCTTTTCTTTGTTCTCTGATGGAATAAATATAGGGAGGTTCATAAATCCAGAATTTTAGCGGCCTGGCTGTTGCTTGCCTTATGAACTGCCATATTTTTCTACCATTAATTAAAAGAAGTGAAACAAATCAAAAGTATAGGTTTAAGTTTAGGCATTTTGGTAAAGCAGAAACACATATCAAAGCTGTGCTTGTCCATCGAGTTGCACCCGGTAGAGTCTTTACTTGCACCAAACTACACTGCTTAGCAAGAAAAAAGGCACCCCACACATTTCAAATTATATGGTCTTTACCTTCTGTTTTGTAAGCAATGCTTTTGCCAATTATATAAACATTGAGATGGAATATAATGCCTTTTTTTATAAGCACTTTTGAGTCTAGGAATACTTGATACTCTTTTCATAGCAGGACACAGGAGAAATAGTAGGACTGAATTATATTTCAAATGATAGAAAAAATGTGCTGTATTGCAAAAATAGCAAGTTACAGAACATAACATGCTGCACACTGGGGAAGATATAGTAATGCCTACTATAGGGCCTTGCCTCTAAGTTTCATGAAGTTGTTCAAAACCTACTGAACCGTTTAAAGACTATGATTTCAGCTGAGTGTAGATGAGGCCCTTAGCATTGAATAGGCTATGGGAGTGCAGCTTGCCTGTGCAAGCTGATCCTTAACCTCATTACAAAGGTATGGAATATAAGTGTGATGCCTTTGTTGGTAAGGGGGCTGAGGAGCAAGAAGATTGGATCACAGAAACTGAGAGACCCCTCATAAAATGCAGAGTAGGATGGGAGGAGAGAGTGCAGTGAAAATAGCTTTAAAAAGAATTAGGAAATCCTGCTGATAGGAAAAAACAATTACTTTATATGCTTATTATGGCCAAAAAGTGTCAGTCCATCTACCTCCTTGCAAATACGGAGGCACAGCAAAACACGCT